GAAAACGTAAGAACACAACTGAACAACACATAGAACACAGGTCCAGTTGTTTTTAGACATTTTTATGTGGGAAAGTTTCAAATCAGAATTTAAAATACTTGACGCTCAACCAGTGGGAGATGTCGCAACATCGTCCTTGATATTTCAGTGTCAGCTGGCCGGATGTATTGTTCAGGTACAGTACGAACACCTCTTCTCTTCCAACTGACGTGTGCCAACAAAATAATACCTGCACCACCTGCCAGAGCTGGTGGCAAGACAGCAAGATGGATCCATAAATTGTAGATGCTTAGGGGCCACCTGTTCTCTGTTCTCTCACGCTGACGATACGGCAATAAACGAGGCCGCGGCGTCCTCTATATTGTGTTTGCACCGGGTGTCGATCAATCCTATTCTGCCTGATGACTTGCTTCATCTCATCTTTTCACCCCCTTGTAATGGACACACTCGCATTAGATTTGCCGCCCCCCCCCCCCCCCCCCAGGTCAGAGCGTCGTCTCAGTTTGCCTGATTGGCCGAGTGGCTCCCAAACTGGCCAATCACGGTGTTAAATGGAGCCGAACCCGTTGCCAGGTGGGGTCCGCCGCTGTTACATTATGAACTGTTGAACCCAATCAGCACGTGGGCCGCTGAAGTGTGAACAAATGGGGTCACGCTGTAATGTGTTAGGTGATACATATTGCGGATCACTCGGGGGGGGGGGGGGGGTTGAGGTTTAATACACCTGTGGGGTGATTACCGGGGCACAGACTACAGGGAAATGTGTGAACTCGTCTCTTGCATGACCGCTCCAGGCTCTTATGTAACTGCAGTGTGCTTGACGGACACAGACAAGCTGAAATTCACACTTCTGTACACCTCTGCTGATTACGGGGCCACAGCCTGTCACAGAGTGTCCTTCCTGGGTTATTTTCTCAAAGTGTTAATGGGAATTAAAACAGTAGGCTGCACACTTGTGAACGTATCAGGGCTGATTGTGTAAAAACGAGCCGGTTAGTGACCAGAGAAGCCACCAGATATGTAAAGTTATGGGTTGAATTATGCCCCACTTACCTGCAGGCTGATTAAAGACGGGCTCTTGTAGTAATTGTGCAGCGTATTTCAGGGAGGAGTGTTTGAGTAAATGATGAGATTTTATAAGTTTGTGTATCAACAGTTCAAAATGAGTGGTAGCAACATGTCCTGAAATGTACCGCAACCTTATGAATGAGAGTTATCGTCCTAAAGACACTATACAGTTCACTGCTGTTGCCCCAAAACCCCCCTGAGTGGGGCCCCTTGATGATGTGTGCTGTAGCTAGAGGCTACGTTAGTCTGCGTGTGAGGCGTTTAGGGGACATCTGCAAATTGTAGCATCTACCAATAGTTTGCATGTGAGGCGTTTAGGGCACATCTATAAGTTGTACTGTCTGCAGACAGTCTGCATGTGAGGTGTTAAGGGGGCATCTGTATATTTAGCTTCTGCCATTACTCTATATGAGGTGTTTACGAGACATCTGTAAATTGTAGCGTTCGTCAATACTCTGCATGTGAGGCGTTTAGGGGACAGCTGCAAAGTGTACCATTTCCCGATAGTCTGCATGTGGGGTGTTTAGGGGGCATCAGTAAAGTAGTTTCTGCCATTACTCTGTATGAGGCGTTTATGAGACATCTGTAAATTGTAGTGTCTTCCAATAGTCTGCATGTAAGGCGTTTAGTGATCTTCAGGTAATTTTTTCTTCATGCAGTTTTTTTACCTTTTTGTGAATGCGGCTCATATAATACCAGGATGTGCAGACACCCCTCGTTCGGATCATCCTGTACTGAAAATAGTTTCTACTTGTGAGGATCGAGTAGCACATTTGAAAAGGAGCGCTGCTCAGACGGTCTGAGAGAGTTTTTAAAAGCAGCTTCCCAACATCTGGAGGAGGCGTGACCGTCTAAAACAGAACCGCTCCGACTATTTACAGCAAGCGTTCCACACATGTTGTCCAGCCACCTTCCTCACATCCTTTTTTATGACACTGTTTCTGTTCTCGTCTGAGTTCAAGTGGAAGCCTGCTGCTGCTGCTGCTGCTGCTGCTGCTGCTGCTGCTGCTGCTGCTGCTGCTGCTGCTGCAAACAAGGACTGAATGAAGACTGGGATCAAGCTCTGAACACACTCACAGAAAGACTCCACTGTGCCTTTGATTTAAGCAGATGTCTGCAATCAATATAAGCACTTTTTGTAGCCAGGTTCATTCTTGCACCAATAACAGCTGTATAGAATTTGATAGACACGGAGGATAATACAACGTCTGTCCTTGATTTCTTTAGATTTTTTTGAGTAAAGCGTAAAGATTTTGTAGCTTGAACAGTTAAAAAAAAGAGTTACTTTCTTTTCTTCTAGACAAAACATTCAAGATCTATTGAGTATCCTGTTTTTTTTTTTATTTATTTATTTTTTTTTACTGCACTTTCAAAAAGTACAGCACTTAATACTGAACTCCGCCATTAAAATGTCTGTTTGATTTCTCATTTCCATCGAGGAGATGCCGGGAGAAAAGGCTGCATTTTCTCTCCGGCATTAACGCGTAGGACGGAGAGTGACAGTTGTGTTTTTTTTTAATTTTTTAATTTATTTTTTAATTCACAAGGTGATGCTTCTGTAGCTTGAAGACGCGGACGCCGTCTATGATCCGATTACAAAGGCGGTGACGGCGTGTTATCATTGAAGGCATTCAGGGTTTTTTTTAAAGGAACATCTCATCGCTGCAGCCGTTGAGGACTGTTGCAGTTATTACAGAGCGTGCCAAGGTTAGGTGCTTAAGCCTTTAGCTCAGTGGATTCCACTACCAACCTTGTGTTGTTATTGCGGGGGTGGGGGGGGGCAGGGGATTAAACTGAACTCCCACACAGCAGTATCACTCTATTAATCGCCCGTCTTTGTCTATCAAGGTTATAACAAGAGGCTGCTGGGTGCTCGTCTGTACAGGTGCATTCATGTGCAGGATCTCTGGTTTCCTACCCGAGGGTTTCTGGTCATTCTTCTTTTTTATGTGATTCATCTTCTACCGCTCTTTCCCCCTGTCTTTCTTCTATCTCTTTATCCTCCCCACATCTCTCCCCATCTTTCTTTTCTGACTAACGTCTTGGTTTTCCTCTTCTTCCTCTCTCGTCTTCCTCAGTCATCTCCCACATGACCCCCTCTCTCTCGCTCTCTCTCTCTCCGTCTGTCTTCCTCTATTTATTTTATTTTTTATCTCTGTTTATCTCCACCCTCACCTCCCTCTCCTTTCTGTTTCTATCTCTGGGTTCCATTACCTTCACTGCTGCGGCAGGTATTCATTAGAGATGTAGTTTTATTTTTCTCTGGCCGCACGGTGAACAGTTCAGACTCATACTAAATGCCTTTTTTTAATTAAGTTATGATTGGAATTATCAGGGTTTCCTCTTTATTTAAGTCACATGAAATTATTACATTATTACAGTTAGAAATTTCTGTTGCATCAACCTGAGGCACCTCCAAACACCTGAGGGTGTTCTGAAAAACTTACTCACTAAACTCTTTATTTCCCAGCCTCTGAAGCAGATAAAAACATGCAATAAAAACCACCTGAGACCTTAAACTTTTGACATTTATTGTAAATCATTAGCTTTACCTTGCAAATTGAATTTGGCTGGAAAATGAAGCACATTTATCAACATTTTCCCTCAGGTCAATTTCACTGACAGAACCGCGACTTTAAGAAACTTTTTTGCAGCTAAAACTGACAACAAAAAACACCACAAAAGAAATACATTTCCCATAATGCCGTTCACCTCCCCAAAATGAATTCCAGCAAATCACAATGCATTTCATTGGCCACATGTCTTAAAAACAACAAAATATATATTATGTGTGTACGTCTCATCGGGTCTAAAGATGGATAACCCATAGCGTGCATCTTTTTCTTTGATTGTTCCCATGGCAACGTTTTGATTGATAGAAACAACTTAATCATGTTTTAACTTGAAATTATTGTAGAAAAATAAAGTGTATGTATCATCAGTGAGGAAGCCTAAGCAGCAAACAGGAAGTACAACCCCCCCCCCCTTGCAGTCAGAGGTGACACGCCCCCCCCCCTTCACTCAGTGTATTGACAGTCACCTCCCGGCCTCGACATCACGCCGTACACTGATAGCTGCGCTCTCACCTGCATAAATATGTATCGACGTCCTGTACAACCCACACCACGCGCCAACCTTGCGCTCACCTTCCCCAACTTGTGTTTTCCATCCACCTCTGTGTGTTGATTTGTTCGCCAGCTTATTTAATCCTCGTGTAAAAAAAAAAAGAAAAAAGAGGGATTCGGGGGCCATTTGTGCATGTGCGGCGTTTTCTATGTGCATGTTTGTAGTTGACGTCTGCGTGTGACTTCTACAGTTGTGCTTTGTTTGTCCTTGTCCTGTGTATATGTGTGTTACTAAAAATAAATATGTTTATAATAATGTGATTTTCAAGCATGTGAAGTTTAACCAAAGTGAAAGATTCACATTAAAATTAAAACCGTTTTCGAAAAGATAAAAGTTTTAAATATCCGAGTCCTCGTTTTATACTTTGTTTATTGTGTGTGTGTTTTTTTGCATGCTGATGTTTTCATCCTCCTCTGCACATCGCTGCATGTTGTTTATGACTCGTGTTTGGCTCTTTGCGTATGGATGAAGTGTTTAGAGTATCTTCACCTTGGGATCAAGTGTGTTCAGTGCGTCTTTGTTTGTGGCTAACGTGTACGATTTGTGAGAACATGAGAGAGAGAGCGTGTGTTTTTCAAGGATAGCTACCAAGGGTAAACCTTTATGGTAAAGAGTGTGTGTGTGTGTGTGTGTGTGGGTGTGTGTGCGCACGCCTTGTATTTGTTTGTGTGCATGCACTCGTGTGGTCATTTCTATGTGATTGTGTTTGTGCCTCATTATTTGTATTTGGTTGCCTACCAATGTGACTATGTGCATACCTGTGTGTGTGTGTGTCTGTGGGTGTGTGTGTGTGTCTGTGGGTGTAGGTGCGTCCACACAGGACTCGGATGCCATGGAGCCGGAGAAGCAGGTGGACAGCACGGTGAAAATGGCCGGAGTGATCGCAGGGATCCTCATGTTCATCATCATCCTCCTCGGCGTCGTCCTCACCTTCAAACGCAGGTAGGTGACAAACCTGAACGCCAGGACAGAGCAGCAGCTTAAAGGTGCTATGTGTAGCATTTTAATAACAGTAATAAATCATTAACACGTCCCTTTTTGTTTTTTGCATCTTCACTGCAATTCCCTTAACCCACAGATAAGACTGTTGGTAGCCTCTGTCAGACTCTGTGCTGCATTTTGCTGTTGAGTTGCTTTATGGCACAAAACAGTAACTTTAAAGGTCCCACATTTTAAACTTCCTGTGTTTTATTTGAAGTGTTGATCCATCAGAAGATATAAAAACCATCTCAGTGTAGTTTTACATCTCCTCTCTCAGGCTTCTCTCTGGAGCTCTAGTAACAACAGGTCTGTGAGCCAATCAGAAGAGAGGAGGCTCTGAGCCTCTCTTCTGATTGGCTGACTGTTTTCTGACTGATCCAATAAAAATATAGCAGATTTCAGGTAAAAACACTCAGAGAAACCAAATCCTGCAAGGTTTGGATGGTGGGTCCAGGTGGGCGGGGCTTGGTGACTGCTTTGTTGTGACATCACAAAGTTCCAGAAGTCCTGACAGCTGGTTTTAAGGCTCAGTTTCTGAATACAGGCTGTGTGCATTTCTCTGTGGACTGAGGCTTTGATACTTTCACAGTATTAATATAGAACCTAGACCTGATCTATAATCACACTACACATGGACACAGACCTTTACACTGGAGGAGCTTTAATAGTTTGCAGACAGTGAACGGAGCCTAACAGCTGATTGAAAACTAAGTTAAAAGATGGCAGCTAAAACCGCAGCACTGGCACGAGACAGAGGCTACCAATCATCTTAACGACCATTGTGTCATTTGTACGTGTTGATGAATAAAATACTACATTTAGCATCTTTAAACCATGTGGCTGAACAGACTGATTGATGGATAGACCTCATGTTAATTTGAAGTGTCCTCATAGTTGATAGTAGAGATGAACAGACAGATGTGAAGCGTTACAGGCTATGGACAGGTGGGGGGAGGTAAATGTCTTGAGTTGAAGGGGATATTAGTGAAAAGGTTTAATCAGAATTTAAAATGTTTTTCATTTAGTTTCAGAGTCAGACAACAAACTGTTGTTTTAGAGATTAGCAGTTATCAGACATTGCAGGCCACACTGATTGTTGCGATTACGAAGGCCACAGATTTTAATTTGTTTCTTAAGGCGATATAAAAGGTCAGAATTATGTATTGAATCTGGTGATTTTCTTAATCCTCTCTTACCCTTAAAGGCAAAATAAATAATAATGATAGAGGTGCCCAGAGTTTAGATATATCCAATACCTCAGATGGTTTGTATTACTTTTATTTCTCTTTCTTTTTTATTTTTATTTCCATTAGCAGACATACACAGCTTCCTGTGTCTTTGTCAACATGCACACTGGCCTGCCACCATCACCTGCCTTTCTTTGACTTTACTTCATCCATCCATCCATCCATCCATCCATCTATCCCTCTCTACCCCACTCACATTACTGCTTATACATTTTGTTTTGCTGACATGTTCTGTGTCATGATTTCACGTTTTATTTTTTGCCACTTTACTCGATTCACACTCGAAAACTTCCACAAAACTTCGCCTCCACAGCAAAAAATGTCCTCCAACGTGTCGCTCATGTTGCTTCAGCACATACAGTCAACCAGCAATGAGATTGAGGGGAAAATGGCAAAAACAGCAAAATGTGAGCAAATGTACTCCAGCAATCCCACTGTGACACTTTTCTTCTTGTTAGTAATTGAAGCATATCTACACTGTAAAACTATGTCTGGAGCCGCAGGGAGGTGAAATGCAAGGCGTGAGGATTACTTGGTCTGATTGCCCAAGGCTTGAAATCCTGAGACTTTTTTTTTTTTTTTACAACCAAACATCAGAATAAATAACGCTGCAGACTCAAAACCACTGGGCTGTTTTCAAAAGAAATACACAAATACTGCTGCTGGTTTAATCCCCTGAAGATGAAATGATGCCGACTTTTGCTGCTTGTTGTTGTTTAGCAGAGATTTACTGTGAGAGCCGAGTGCAAAGTGTCTGAACGAGGCAGTGGGTTTTTTGTAATTTTACAGGAGAAAGCGAGGTGGTGGCGGCCGCCATGTTACAGCCATCAATAAGCTTGGACAGTTATCACACCAGCTGCTGCCGTCAGGTTTCTCCCTCTCTTCAGGCAAATCAGGCTGTAAATGTCATATATTGAGACAGAGAGACTCTTGGCATCAGTCAAATATTTGATGTAAAAAGATAAATAAATAAAAACTCTTTAGATGCTTGTACAAACCTCCAGTTAAGGCTCAATAGCTAATCCTGCCTTATTAGCATTAAACTACTGTCCAGCTCCTGTTTTCAGTACTTTTCTTC